TTCATATGATTTCCCTGATCCAGTTAAGTCGCAAGTTCATACAGATGCATGAAAATCAGTTTCTACATAGTGAGTCCGTTAGCTGAGCCTGAATTTTAGCGAGTTAAATCTAAACCAGTCCATCAACATGCTTAATACAACAATTAACTCAGTTGATCAATAGTTACTCAACCGATAGCTTAAGCAAGGAATCAAAGGGTTTCAAGGAAGAATTCATATGCAAAAATTGAGAAACAAGGTAAAAGCTATACCTTTCTTGGCCGGTTGTGTCTCGTATTTGAGATTTGATGATCTTATTGCCGATCTTAACATTCCGGTAAGCGAATTCAGCTCCGATAGTAGGCTTCGAGTAATCAACTCCGAGATAAAAAAGCAGAGGAAAAGCTTAAGAGGATTACAAGGGAAGGTTGAAAGATTCAAGAAACCAAGATGTTTGAAAAACATTACGGGATGTCTAGTAATACATAAGACATGGTTGCATGTTCCTATGATGTTGATTATCACTGACTTAATGAAAGCAAACATAAACCCTAGCTTCTTGCCTGACCCCTTTGTTATTATATAAATATATATGATTAATTACTTAATCAAATCAGAAATTTCAATTGCTCGGGCCTCAACTCTATCAAAATTGAATGACTTGAAGCATGAGAATCAAGAGCAACTCAACTGAGTTTTGACTAAAGTGCCAACTCGACCGAGGTTGGTCAGTTTACAGAAATGATGAGTGAGTTGTCCAAACAATAAATTAATTCATGGGTAAACTACACATTTAATATTTAAACTATCATTCTTGATCTATTTTAGTACTTAAATTTTTAATTTTTTCAAAATCATTCATAAAGTTTAGTTTCCATTTCAATTTAGTATCTCACCCTTAAAAATTTTAATACGTTTAATATCTAAACTATTAATTTTGGTCCGTTGCAGTACCTAAACTTTCAATTTTTTTAAAAATTTAACGTTAAATTTTGAACGGGTGTACTAGAATGAAACAAAAACTATAATGCTTAACAACGGGTACTAGAATGAAACAAAAACTATAATTTTTAACAACGGGTATTATAATGAAATAAAAACTAAACTTTAGGTATGATTTTGAAAAATTAAAAGTTTAAGTATTAAAACAGATCAAACGTAATAGTTTAGGTACTAAATGCATAGTTTACCCTTAATTCATTAATGAGGCCTTTGATTCAATGGTCAAATTGTATATGTGTGGTAGGGATGGCAAACGGGTACAGTTTTATGGATTCCGTACCGCATCCGCTCCAATTGGGGCGGGGATGAGTATAATTTTAGCGGGTAGTGGGCGGGTATGGATTTAGAAAGTGATACCCATCGCGGGTGGTGGGCGGGTAATGGGTTTAAGACATTACCCGCCCCACATCCGCCCCGCATCTACCCGCCCCACATCGGCCCGCCCAGCTAAATATCCATTAAATTTTGGACCATTATGAATTTAGGTGTAATTTTAGAGACTAACTTATAAATTCTAATATTGTATAAGATATAACATGTAATTTATCCAACTCTCCAACAAATAGCAAATGATATTTTGGGCATTCTTGTCTCCACTGTCCCATCAAAATCTGTATTCAGTATAGGTGGAAGAATAATTGGTCCTTATCGTAGTCGACTACTTCCGGAGACGATTAAAGCATTAATGTATGCTCAAAATTGGCTTTGGGCCGATATTAAAGGTAATATTATTATTTAATTTATATTAGTTGTTAAATTGTGCTTAATTATCTTATTAAAGTTTAGTTACTAACTTATATTAGTTTTACTTTCTATTATATATGTAGGTAGTAGTGAATTTAAATTGGAGCGCTCTCAGTTGGAGGAAATAGAGAATGATGATTGTAATACTGGAGTATTATATGTCACAAATATTGCCTGAAATTTTAGAATGTTGTGCCAAAGAACAAAAATATTATGTGTTTGTCATTTATGTTTCTAGACTTTAATTATGTCCTTTATTATGGTGTTTTATGTATTTTAAGATCTATATTAACACTTAACTTAGATAATCATTTGATTATTTTATTATGTTTCTTAATAGACATGTTTTTTTTATGTTTGTTGCTTATGTATAACTTAAGTTTGCTGTCAGGCGGGTCTAGACGGGTACGTAGCTAGTTGGTAGTGGGTGTGGGGATGGATTTGAGAATGTACCCGCGTGGGCGGGTGTGGATTTGAAAATTTGTACCCATCATGGGTGGTGGGCGGGTAGTGGATTGAAAAATATTAAGTGGGTATGGGGATGGGGGAGGGGGTATCCACACCTGACCCGCCCGTTTGCCATCCCTAATGTGTGGACTGGAAGTCTGTAACTCGGCCTGATATGATATATAGGAAGTGCCAGACCAACGGGTTTGTCCACAGACAAAATGGCCTTTACCTTTTGATATGCATGCGCCAATGATTTGAGCCTTGAGGGTACAAACATTTGGATGGTATGCTCCATAATCCAGCTAAACGTGGAAGCCACTATATCACACTATTACAGTGGTGAATCTAGAAATATCTTTAGAGTTGACATATGTATTAATTATTGAGATTTTTTGTAAGCATGAGAACGAGCATTAATAATAAAATAAATAACTAATATAAATAAATTCAGATTATATGATAAACATGAGAACATCGTAAACATATTTTACATCCACGACTGCACAAACCCATGGCCCCCACCCACTAACAGGATTGTGCCTTCCGTCTCTTCTTTACGTTACTTCTGTCATGCATCTTTTTACTAACATGATGGTGACCACCATGCACCAAACTCAAGAGGATATCATAGAATGAAATAGAAGGCAACTTCTATTGGATATGCACGGCATAACCGAATAATATACCAAGCGGTGGCTTTGAGCTTTATTGGAACCAACCTCGAGACGAATCCAAGGCCGAACAAATACTACTCTCGCAAAACAAAATGCTAACCATGGATAAAGGAAACATGTTCAAATATTCCTACAAACCCTAATGTTTTATTATAATATTGAGTAAAGTATATTAAAGGTCTTTAAAATATGTAAAAATGGTTAAATTTAGTTATTAATTTTTTAAAAAATAATAAAAATAAATATCATGATATTATAAAATATAATTAAAATTTTAGAAAAAAGACATTAGAGGTCTCTGTACTTTTGAAAGAAAAAAAATCAATGTGGCCATCGTATTATTTTCTCTCTCTCAATGTAGCCCTCCAACTCAGAAAACAAACCCAATGTGGTCCTTTGACCAACGTTTTTCGTCGTTAACCATTACAGTATTGGCATGCCAATGCTGACATGGCGGGCCACGGTGCAGACGTGGAAGTCCATCTGCCATGTTTGAGTTACCAATTCAATCAATATGTCATATAATTCGCCACGCTAATCTGTCACCCTAGACTGTCATGTCATTATCTTGGACAATCATGTCAACAATGTGAACTGTCACATCATTACCGTAACGGTCAACGACGGAAAAAAACGTTGGTCAAAGGATCACATTGGATTTATTTTCTGAGTTGAAGGGTCACATTGAGAGAGAAAATAATATGAGGGGCATATTGACTTTTTTAAAAGTACGTAAACCTATAATGCCTTTTTACCTAAAATTTTATTATATTTATAAATAAAAGATTTATAATAATTCGATAAATTTAATAATTATTTTTGAAATGTCAATAATTAAAACGATTGTATAAGCATAGTATAAGCCCTTTGGTGTACTTTTCCCTATAATATTTTCTTTTTCTTTTTATTACTTTTACTTTCTTTTTTGTTAATCAAAGCTTCAAATTCACTTCAAATTGCACACGACACAAGGAGATTTCGGAGACCAACTTTCATATTTAGTTGATTTGGTTAAACAAAGAATGGTGGCATCTATATATGCACTTGCCCATAATAGTATTGAAGGTGATGAAATGTTATTTTTTAAATATTTATTCATTTATTCATTTATTCATTTATTAAATATACGAGGCGTCCACAGTTTGACCTGGTCAAACCCTTCCATTAATAAATAAACTTTATTCTTCATCAACCTTTTGTTCAATTCATTTGGTTCATTGTGTGTATTGAAGGTGATGAAATGTTATTTTTTAAGAATAATTTTTATTTTAAAATAAATATTGACTTTATTATATTGTGTACCTTTTAAAATGAATACTGACTTATTATATTGTAGTACACAATATTAATAAATTTACGCGCACACATATATATATATATATATATATATATATAGTTGCGGATATAGAAATATTTTTAAGAGTACAAACATATATGGTAAGGAAATAAAATTTTTAAACAAGGTAGACATAAATAAAATTTGAGGGTGAACATCATCAATAAAATAAGTCATAATGGAAGAAATTACAGATTTCAAGACGAACAACTTCAATAAAATATACGTCTGATCAAAGAAAATTCGAATTTCGACCTTGATGTACCGGCCAGTGCATATATTAGAATAAGTAAGTATTCACTATGAAATCCGATTTGTCATATATTTGCTATTCATTTTATTGTCATAATTATCTTTAAATTTTATCTGCATTCATTTAAGTATATTTTTTCTACTCTATTTTGACATATGCATGTTCATATTTTAAAATAATTATAGATATGTGACTAATATATAATCATAAATAATCCTAAATATTTTAGAAAACAGTAACCATATAAGCATAGTGGATACGATAATAAGGACTTCTTTAACATAATTAATACCGTAATAAATACTTCTTTAAAGATATTAATAATATTTATGTTTTCGATACTATATAATATACCATATTGTAGTGATACATAGAGCCTGGTCAAACAATATGTTAAAAAAAGGAAGTACATAAATTAATTAACTGGGACTGGGAGATTCTTTTCTGTTTGGGAAGGCAAAGGAAATTTTGTGCAGGAATCAATGATTCCATATCCAAACAAAGCATTGAGTGATGGAAAATTTCATAAAAAATGCAGGAAAAAGGAAAATGGCGAGAAAAATCTGGGCAATGGAATCAAAGACATTTTCATTTAATTCGATGAAGCTAAGAACCAAACAAGAAAGTCTAGTCCTGCAAATTACGTATGGCGAAGGATTTATATATGAAAACAAGCTATGGAAATCTCTAAGAACGCTACCTTTGATCCACGTTGTTTGGACCAATCAATCACCGGCCGAGAAAGGCTTCGAATCCTACGGCTTAGGTCGACGCCGACGAGGCACTCATCATCTTCTTAAACTCCTCGAAATTGACATTACCGTCGGAATCCGTATCAACGGACTTGATCATCCCAACACAATCGTCGACCGAGCACGTCATCCCCAGGCGGTTCAAAACCTGATGCAGCTCGGTGACAGAGATCAGGCCGTTCTTGTTCTGATCGTACAAATCGAACGCCTCTTTCAGCTCGGAAGCGGCGTTTCCGTCGTCGGAAGAGGACCAGAAGGAGGCGAACTCTTCGAAGTTGATGTGTCCGTCTTTGTCGCTGTCGACGTCTTCCATGACGCGCTTGAGCTCATCCTCCGAGTAGTTGGATCCCATTGCCTTCAACACGTCGCGGAGCTCCGCTATGGAGATGTGTCCGTCCTTATTGGCGTCGAATTGGTCGAACACCCTTTTGAGTTCGTACTTGTTTGGCATGGAGGCGGCGTTGGGGAATGCTCAAGAGGGGAAAAGGAAATCGGAAGGGAAGCAAAAGAGTTTAGGTTTCCACTTGGAAGCGATGGAGATCAAAACAGGGAGGGCAGTGGGGAATTATGGGCGTGGGAGGAAAAGCAGGAAAAACAATAAAGGGACCACAATGACCACTAATAAAATTGGTTTCCATATAAGTAAAATTAACTCGGTGGATATTATTTATCCATTATAAAGAAGTATGGTGGTGTAAAAATCAACAGATAAAATTAAGGGTAAAATATATAACGACAATGTTTTATTAAGTACATTGATTGTTAAAAGTTATAAAATGATTATTTGATTGTGGAATATTACTTTTTAATCACTCAATTATTAAAAGTTACAAAACGATCAATCGATTATTTCATATGTTTTAAACTCGTCTTTTTATGTTAAAACATTGACGATAATCTAAGTTGGACGTTAACATGTTCACTATGATATGATAGTCATTTTTAACTTATAACAGTTGATGAACTCAATAAAACATCGTGTTATATTCAGAGAACCATTTATATATTTTATCCTAAAATTTGATTATACATGTAGTTTTTAATTTTTATTCGATTATATATATAGCTCTTATCTTAATTTGATATTATTCCTAGATATAAAAAATGTCAAATATTATTCATTATGTTATAGATTTAAAGTGCATGAAAAATTATCTAAATTTGTTTCCCCGTAATTGAAACAACCTATACAAAAAGGTTAAGTTTAGACTTGTTGCCCGTCGATGTAACTGTTTCGGTTCGCGAGATTGGTGCATCTGTCAGCTATTTCATTAATCAAATTAAACAATTTAATATAAGTATGATGAAATAATTATCGTTATTATTTGAAATTTTAAGTTCGAATATATTAGATATGTAAATGTTTAATATTATTAGGATGGCAAATAGGTAGGGTACGTACGAATACTCCTTCCCCATCCTCATACCCTCTTAATATTTTTTTATTCATCACCTATCTACCACTACCACTCACAACAAGTAAAATTATTAAATCTACATCCGCCCATATGTGTACATTCTTAAATCCATCCCCACGTCTATTAACTAACTGGATACTCACTATCCATCCCATACACATATGTACTCATCCATACCCACCAATTTGAGATAGGAGAAACGTTTGACTTTAATTTTAAAAATGTTTATACCATAATGAATAGTTAGTAGACGGGCAAATGTGGAGCTAGGCGGATGCGAAGTAGATAAGGCCTTAAACTCATCACCTACTCGCTACGAAGGGTATGATTTTTTACATCTACACTCGCCTATTAACCACTAAACTTATATCCATCTCCATCTCAATTGATGCAAATAAGGTACGAATTTTACGAAATTAGATCCTTCTATCATCCTAAAATAAATAACATGTAATAATTCAATTCATAAATAAACATATCCAATAGAAAGTGGGAATAAAGAAATAGAAGTAAGGGGTTGCAAGCAGTGTTCTTAGAAATTGATTGGGATTGAATTTTAGCCTTTCGATCTCATTGATCGGAGATCGCAGTACAGAAACGGCTTCCACACGCCATTTTGGTCCTAGTTCACCTCGATCATTTTCGTACAAGAAATTTATTATGACGAAGTTAAAACATTTTTTTTATTTTTTTTTATAAATACAGATTTTTAATTTGAAAGGTTTGATATATTTTAAAAATTAAGATAAATTACACCGTTACTTATACTCTCTCTTATTTTTCTCACACAACTTTTAATTTGATCAATTTGCTCACTGAAGTTTACAATCGAATCATTTTTCTCATTCGACCGTTTTTTCTCTAACAAATGATGACGTGGAATTTTTTTTATTTTTGTTTAATATAAAATAATTAAAACAAAAAACAGAAGGTGGTCATGCCACCGCCGACTTCCGTAGATGGTGGTCGTTCGGTCTTGAAATGGGATGGGTCACTTTGCCTCGACACCTTGAGTCTGAATCCGACTTCCATTTTATTGAAACTTGCTCCGAAGTCAATGAATTTGAGATAGAAAGTGAGAAAATTGAAATGTTTCAGTCAAAATTCACGGGTTTTGGGACAATTTTCGGTGAAACAACCACCAGATTCGGACTCAGGGGGTTGAGACGAACCGACCCATGAAATTTGGGACCAAACAACCACCATCTACATCGGTCGACGGTGGCTAGAATGAAAATGACGTGGTGCCCGGAATGAAAATGACGTGGTGCCCAGCGGAGAGAAAATGAAGAAGAGAAGGAAAAAGAATAAATTACACCACGAGTCATTGAATTTTACTCTTTCTCCTATTTTACTCACTGAAACGACGTTGTTTTAGGGTATATTTGAGTTTTTCAAAACGGCATCGTTTTGATGCATGTACCACGTCATAACTCCGTTAAATAATTAATGACAGAGTGAACAAAATGAATTAATCTGTAAAATTCAATGAGCAAATTGAAAGTTGGATGAGGAAAATATGAGACAATAAAATTCAATGAGAAATGGTGTAATTTAAAAAAAAAATAACTGCCGGGACCAAGATCCCTCGCCCCATGAAGCTCCGCCACCGGATGTCCTTGTCGTATAAAGCTACGAAATGGCACGTTTGTAACACGAAAAACACAGTGACATGGATTGGGCCGATAATATTAGGCTATTCAACTATTTGTAAAAAGCTTATATTAACACCGGTACGTGTAGTAGGGTTAAAATTAATTTAATTTTAGTTTGTTTAACATTATTGTGAAGCTCGAACAGAAACATCATGAAACTTTAGGAGTAAAATAGAAATAAAAATAAAATGATGGTATGCTTCTAATTGATAAGCAATCAATTTAAAATTAAAAATTTAGAGGTTAGGAACTAATTTGTTGAATTTTGAAATTGAAAGTACCTAAAAATATTTAAACCAAAAAATTGGTAGACCAAAGTTTAATTTACCTAGTTTTAAAACTAAGATGACCTAAAAAGTAAATGTGCCAAAACAATCTCTAACTTCAAAATTTCAGGACTTGAAAAGCAAATACATTAGAAAAAAATTACCAGGACTTGACCACTAACATTTTTGGTCCTATAGTAATTGAGGTCCCTAAAAATTAAAATATTGGTTAAATTGCATCTTAGTTTCCAGCATTTTAAATTTAAATATGGGTAAACTACACATTTAGTATATAAACTATCAATTTTAGTCTGTTTGAGCACCTAAGTTTTCAAAATTTTCAAAACTATACATAACATTTAGTTTTTGTTTCATTTTAGTACTCACAGTTAAAAAACTTATCGTGTTTAGTACATAGACTATCAATTTTAGTCCGTTTTAGTACCTAAACTTTCAAAAAACAATTTCAAAAATTAATGTTAAATTTTAAACAATGATACTAAAATGAAACAAAAACTAAAGGAAGAACCCAAAACCTTAACATTGAATTATGATGTTATAACTCTAAATCATTTGACATTGAACGCTCACACCTTTGACATTCATAGTGCTCGAATCCGGGACCTTAAGGACAAAAACTAATAGTTTAGATACAAAATGTGTAATTTACCCTTTATATAATTAATAGATCTTTATTTTTTAAGAAATAGATAATTTGACATCTTTTAATGTTTAAGGAATAACTCAATTTGCCTAGGCAAGGCTCATTATTGGTAGCCTTCTTAAACGTTTCGCTAGCCTAGTGTTATCCATGTAAACTTTTAATTGATCCATCCATGGATCTAAAGATGAAAAACAAGAGTAGGTCCTCTCGTCCCCACTCCCGAACGGTAAACACCACCAAGATTCTCAACTCAAAACAAAAGTCTCAAGCTCTAATTAAACTATGCAGATCAAAGCCAAAGATCTTCACCTCACGATATGATAATAGGTCCACTGCAGAACAATACACGAAGCAGATGTAGATAATAACAACCAAATACAACTCTAGCGACGGTGAGGGCAGAAAGTGACCAAATAGTTGCCCCGAGAGCAACTTGGGATCATCGTAAGCATAAGAATAACCTTTGGGGCAAGCCGTCTTGAAAATCCTGGAATACACGGTCGGCTTACAAGACTGGGGGCTCCCAAAGATTCCGGTGCAGCAATACCTGGGAGAATTGAAAGCGAAGCAAGCCACCACTCGCTTGTTATCCCTCCCCCTCACTTGTAAAGCCACCGGGCACATCAAGTTCAAGTCGCTGACGCACCCCGCGTAGCTGCATTTGCCGGTGCCTCTCGAAGGAGTTATCGACATCGCTATGTTGTACTCGTCCACCAGGCTGACGTCGTAGAAATCTTGTTGCGTCCCGAGGGTGATTTCGGCCAGAGTGGCCGGGGCAGTGCCGCCGAGGCCTTTGCAGTACAGAGACCCGCCGCAGTCACCGGTGGCGAAACGGCCGCGTCCGGTGGCGTCAAAGGAGCATCCGTGGCGGCCCCAGAAGCGACCTGACCAGAGAGGAGGTAGATTCATGGAGTAGGCCCTGTTTGGGGGAAGCTTGAAGCCGCCTCGTGGTAGAAGTGTCTTTTCGGCGCTAGGTTGGATCCCGGGCCAGACTGGGTGCGGACACTTGTTGTAGAGTGTTAATGTTGTCGCCGACACCTCAACTGTTAGCAGCCGAAAGAGGAAAACCCTTTAATCTAAGACATGTTTGCTTTAACGAAACCAAAAATCTAGCAATGTAAGAGATTTAGTTACCTTAAGCGTGGAAGAGGAGAAGAGCGGAAAGCGTGAGATTTAACACAGATCTCAGCATTGTCGCCATGGCTGAAACTTTTGGGAGGAGGAGGGTTAAGGTACAAGAAACAAGACAGGCAGTTATTTGAAGTGAGTGAAGAAGAAACTAACAAACCACACCATCAACTAAGGAATAACTATGGTTATGGCGTTCCTTCTAACGATAAAAAGAAATATAGACCCATCTCTTGTTGCTCTGTGGTATATAAGGCTATAACTAAGATTCTTGTTCATAGGCTGAAGAACATTCTTCCTGACTTGATTACTCTTAATCAAACAACCTTTGTTAAGGGGAGAAATATAATTGACAATACCCTCCTAGC